GGTAGCGTTCTAAAGACCTATAATCCATCACTGAGGATCTATCAGTCGTCAGCATAGAAACGAAAAGTCGGCCAATCTAAATCTTTCGCGAATGATTTCTATCATTTCCGTTGATTTTTTGCTTCACCTGAAGGAATGGTCAAAGTGTCCAGTGTTTCATCCTTATCGCCAACTTTAACCACAATCGCAACAGTGAAGTTAGTGTGTTGAACTGGTTTCCAGTAATAAGTTGATGGATAAGTTGTAACTGTCACTCCTTCCTCCACCTGTCCACCACGAGCCAGAAAACGCTTTGATGGAAACGTCTTCTGTCCGGACTCACCACTTGAAAAGAAAATCAAATTACTTTACGATTAACTTGAGGATGGATGTTTTTTGCGCAATAAATCATAAATTTGATTCTATAGTCCTAGAAATGTAATTAAAAAATTACGAATGTCGCCGTCGATAGGAGCACAGACCATGCTAAACCATTCTCCATTTGTCTTTTACCGCAATATCGACTCCAAATAAAACAATTCTCTTCGTATGGTACACGATGCGTGATATGTTGACACAAGAGGCGAGGCCTGTACTTTTACCGACGACGGCAAATTGGCCGATCAGATTGCGACATTGCTGCCAATTTTGGTAAAAATTTTCCTTTTCCCAATAACGAAGAAGTATCGAAGCAACAGCTAAATATATACACTGACTGCCTTTCATGTCCATAGCCAGGCTACGATAGTTTTTTTTTTTACCATAGCTACTTCTGGGAAGAAGCTATTACCTTTTGATTGATAGAAACACTGAAGTGAACTCGGGTTCTGGTTCTAAAGCTGTTATATCCATAAAAATAGGATCACCAAAAGCATCAGAAGGGGCTGGTAGAAGAGGATGCATCATGGTCCTCCCAGAACTGTCCACCATGAAAGCGTAGCTTGATTGGCCTCGCTGAAAATATGTGATTTCCGATAGTAGATCTTCCATGCTGATATCTGTTCCAACAACACCAATGAACTTCCCTTGGTAATAACATGGGAGTGTAATAGAAGTTAACAGACCTGTCGAGATACGAAAACAAGTCCAATGGTTAACTAGTCCTATTCACATCTGTATGTGTTAATTTTTTTTTTGCAGAGAATGATTTAAATACCATCACATGCAAGCAGAGGAACAACTGCAAGGGCGTTATGGTCAAAGAGGGTAATGTTGATCTCTCGCGTTTCAGCAGAATCGAAATTAATAAACCATAGCAGTGTCGAGCGAGGTCAAGAAGCAAATAGAAAAAGACTAATTGGGTTAAAACCCGTACATAGGAGAAAAACAGTAACTAGAGGTGGCTCATTTGATTCGCTCGAGACCAACAGCTGTAACTCGTAATTTCAAGTAATACTATTCTACCTGACTCTTACCTGTGCCAAAAGCATCAACATAAGGAATGGATATGATTGGTGCATCGTGTACCACATTTTCAGAGAAGAAATCGTAATACGTGGCCAAGTCTCTCCGCAAATTTTCTGTGTTTCCTACAGAAGTAAATTTCCCAGCCTAAAATAAATTGAAAGCAGTTAGGAGGTTTTCCTTGCAACCACTTAATGTCAAACCCTTTTGAATGACTTAGTAGGTCTTCTAAGGCCCAACTGATAGATTTAAAGTTGATTCCCTTACCCCTGATAACGTTATTAAACAGGATTATATACTTTTACATCGCTTGTTAGTATAGAAACTTCTACACTGATAGAGATATGATTAAAATGCTGACGATTTCCTGTAAAGGACTTACTATGGAAACTAAGACTGTATACATAGCTCCAGCCAGGTATGTCGGTTTTCCCATGGGAATTAAGCTAAGCTCGTCAAGAATCAAAGTGGTCAAGATATTTTGATCATGAAATTGGGAAGCTTTGGTTACGACCATCCGGGAACTGCCTGGCGGTGGCTTTGTCCCGTGTGGCTTTTCGGGCAGAAATAGGTTTTTGAAGAAAAACGTTTTGGAATCGATGTTTAAGGATTTTACAGTCAATACATTTCTTGGTTTGGTTAATATTAGATTTAACATTGTGTCTGAATTCTTATGGGAAGCCAATGTTTTTTTTTCATATTACGCCAGTGACAGTGTCATTAATAAGGTGGTTTTACTTACAGTGACGTCAGCAGCTTGCGGCACTCCATACCTGGAGCCATTTTGATGAGCAATATCTCGAAGGATTTGTAAGTCCTGTTCCATTCCATATGTCATAATTACCACCTCGTTATTAAGCTCTGCGTTCTTTGTTTGTATCGTTTGCATAATTTCCTGTGGTTGATCGGTTGGTTTACCATCCGTTAGAAAGATCATGACTTTGCTCCTTGAGGCGTCTCATCCAATAGAGGAACCTTTCAGCAGATTGAAGGCTGAGCGGAAAGCTTTGGAGTATTGAGTCTGTCCTGTATTTCAGAGACGGCAGGATTATAATTATTATAGATTTATGGAGAGCCCCAGCAGCCAGCTGCTTTTGACTTTACACACTAATAAAAAGAAAAAAGCTGGGAACTTCTGAGGTTGAGCCTTAAAATATTCATTTTGTGGACCCTGCTTTTAAATCAGTCACATCACAGTCAGAGACTGTCAACGACATAGAAATGTATGCCCTTTGATTCTTACCTCCAGCAGAAAGTGACTCAACATAGCTGTCCAAGTAATTAATATTTATGGGTGTGGCATCCGCTAAACGTTCGCTATGGCAGTCACGTCCATCATTTCTGTGCCCTGTTGGTGTGGTTGCTTCATCACTGAAGCGTACTATTCCTATCTAGAAGAAAGAGTGATAAAATATTCTGCCAAGTTAGTCAGGCAGTCACTCTTTTAGCCATCGCTGCTAGGTAGTTAAGTCGGTTGGTAAGTCAGCTACCTAACTAACATCAAGAACTGCATCGGTAAATTGGTGTGTTTGAAGTGATAGTCGCTTAAACAATCATTCAGTAAAGTTAGTCTTAAATTTGATCAATGATTCAATCTATACATTAATATGCAAATACTTACTAAATCGAATATCG